AATAACGAAATGTGCTAGTCTTCCACGCAAAAATCTGAAATGTGCTACTCTTCCACGCAAAAATCTGAAATGTGCTAGTCTTCCACGCAAAAATCTGAAATGTACTAGTCTTCCACGCAAATAACGAAATGTGCTACTCTTCCACGCAAAAATCTGAAATGTGCTACTTTTCGACGCGAATAATGAAATGTGCTAGTCTTCCACGCTAATAGTGAAATGTGCTAGTCTTCCACGCGAATAGTGAAATGTGCTACTCTTCGTAGGGACCGACGATATAATGGCACATATTTCTGTGAAAAATTTTACCCCAGTATTTCTCACCCATTTAGATGGTTTTAGCCCTTGTTTGTGTCAATTATAGTAATTGAAATTGATCTAAAATTGTATAACGCAATAACATGGCGAATTACATGTTGTTCAATCCCCAAATGTATGAGTATAAATTAAAATAGCTTGACAAGAAGTAAATTCTAGAAATTAAATCCTTTTTCCACAATGACGTCCCAAAGAAAATGGCGTGGCTTAAGCAATTGTGTAAATAACCCTCTCTCGCTTTGCAGTGAAGGCAGATCTTAGAAAACCTTTCGAGTTAAGATTTCAAAATTTGTTTCGTTTAAGTATCGATCCGATCTAATGTATGGTTTTTTACAAAATTTTAAATTTGCGTTCATATGTTCATATGCCTTGTCGCCAATTGATAAAAGAAAAGGAAGCTAACATGTGCTCAAGGAAACGCTGCTGCTGCAAAGTGCCAGTGGAAGTTGATTGCGCTACTTCACTTTAGTCAGTACCCTTTTACTTGTTGGATGACAGCTAAACGGATGCGAAAAGGGAAAGAAAGAAGATCAAATGAATATACATATGAAGGCGTAGATGAGATGAGCTTAGTTTGCTGCTATAGGAAATGACAAAAATATGCTGGCTTTTATTACAGTTTCAAGATTTTTATTTTTACTTTTTCAGTAATGAAAATTATTACTTTGCAGATAACTATGTAAGTGCAGCGGCTACACTCGAATTTATTTAAAACAAGTAAGAAAGTCTAAGTTCGGGCGGAGCCGAACATTAAATACCCGGCGCAAGTATTAAATATGTTTTTTCACCTTTCCGAAACCTTCCGCTAGATGGTAAGCCGGGGTGTATCAATTTTGAGTAAATTAGCGTCCTTCAATTTCGAAATATTGAAGTTTCAAGCATTTCTGAAATTTACCGTTATATGAGAAGCGGCCGTTATTTTAGTCCGATTTCAATAATTTTCAACGTTTTGCTTACACGTGGCAAGCACAATAACCACACCGGGTTTGGTACAAATTGGTAGAACGGTTACCGATATACATATATGTGATCATAAGTGGGCGGTGCCATGCCCATTTTCCAAAATTTTACCATAAACGTATTTCTTGGTAAGGAATTGTTGCAAGTATCAATTTTGAATAAATTAGCTTCAATATTTACTGATTTATCGAAGATTTTGTATTTCTCTAAATTACCGTTATATGGGATGTGGGCGTGGTTATTGACCGATTTTAAAAAGTTTCGGCGATTTTTTTATGCTGTACCAGGGCCAACAACTGTGCCAAGTTTGGAAGAAATTAGTGCGGCGGTTACCGAGATATACACATGTAACCATAAGTGGGCGTGGCTACGCCCATTTTTCAAAAATTTATAATATTCTTATTTTTCGTCGAAAAATTATTGTAAATATCAATTTTAAGCGAATAATCTCCAGTAGTTACTAAAATATCGCAGTTTTCGTATTTCTGAAAATTACCGTTATATGGGAAGTAGGCGTGGTTATTGAGCGATTTTAAAAATTTTCGGCCATTTAGTATGTTGTGCGAAGGCCAACAACTGTGCCAAGTTTGGAAGAAATTGGTGTAGCGGTTACCAAGATATACACATATAACCATAAGTGGGCGTGGCTACGCCCATTTTCCAAAAATTTATAATATTCTTATTTTTCGTCTAAAACTTATTATAAATATCAATTTTGAGTGAATTATCTTTAGTAGTTACTAAAATATCGCAGTTTTCGTATTTCTGGAAATTACCGTTATATGGGAAGTGGGCGTGGTTAAAGTCCGATTTCGCCCATTTTCAATACCAACCTACCTTGGATTAAGGGAAACCTACATACCAAATTTCGTTAAGATATCTCAATTTTTGCTCGAGTTATCGTGTACACGGACAGACGGACAGACGGACAGACGGACAGACGGACAGACGGACGGACAGACAGACATGGCTTAATCGATTTCTTTTTTCATCCTGATCATTTATGTATACATTTGTCTATATCTATCTCGATTCGTTTTGGCTGTTACAAACAACCGTTATGTGAACAAAATTAATATACCCTTGTGCACAAGTGCGCTCGGGTATAAAAATATATATATATTTTTACATATGATTACATACATACTTACTACAGATGTACATATGTATGTAGTAGGCATCAGATGCTCTTCACATTGCTGTACTAGCGAAGTCAAGGGCAAACAACTGCCTTTATGCCTCTAACGATGCACACCGGCATGTATGTACGTGTGCATGTACATAGATTTATATGTATACAGCTATATGTGCATGTTTGACCTCAATCTGTTGTCGAAATTCAAAAATTTCGCCTCAACCTTCTACCACTTTTTTCAGCGTTTATTTCCGCGCGAGCAGCAAATAGTTCCTTTCTGGCAGACAGCGGACGTTGGCAATGTAGCGGCTGTAGGGGGCGTAGAAGGTGTAGCAAAAATTATCATCTGTCGCGTATTTTAAGGTTAAAAGATGAAAACGATGTATGTATGTATGCAAAACTATATATTTACATATGTTTGTATGTATATGTACTATATGTATGTTACAAACTGAATACCCATATATGTGGCAAAGGTCATGATCGTCAGGCAATAGTGATTTGTAAATATAAAGAAAGAGCAGACGGCAAAATGAAAATGAAAATGGATATGAAAATGAACAAGTATGGTAACTGCAACGAGTAGAAATGAAATGAAATGCATATTTCATATATACATATAGATATACACACATATGTATGTACATATGCAAATAATCTTTAGCTATTTGGAGGTCTTCTCAGAGACTTTCTAAATTATGTATTTAAAATATTTATAATTTTTTTCCGCAATTTTGTGTGCGTACCTACTCACAGGATGTGGAGATGTACCGAGCGAATTGGAGTATTTTCTTATTTTATATGAAATCGCTGAAAATTTGTTGAATACCTCGAAACTTAACTTCCACGAATGTTACTAAAATATTTGTGGAATGCGCGTGAATAGATTAATACCTAGATAAATACAGTTTGATTAAGGAGGACTAATCAAAAAAATAATAAAGAGTTTTGCGACAACGCTTGTGCTGTAAAAACACTCGCATGTATACATATATGTATGTACAAAAATAAGTACGTATGTATGTGTGTATGTGTGCTTTTTACAAGCTGGGGCTTCGACCGTATAACCCCAAGTCCCTACCTCAATACCGTTCTGATATCGGCACCACCTTCAAATATTTCAAAAATACTTTTTTTGTCTATGGCTCGTAGCCATAATTCACGAAATTTCCCCCAATTTGGTATATTTGTTTTCGTTGTTCCTTCTATTGGTCTTATATGTAATAATAGCTTCTTGTCTGCACCGTCTATCTTGGCTTCCATTTCACAATCGCTCTAAATTGCCTTGCCAAGTATCTCTTTTAAATCATATATGTGTGTATGTGTGTAAGTATGTATTTTACTAAGTATGTGAATTTTCTAAACATTTTTCTCCATTAAAATGCCGTAAATAATGAAAGCCGTGCTACGAACGACAGCAGCGACAGTAGTGGCGTTGCGACGTCAGCTTCAAGAAAAGCATGATATGTTTTTATCATGGATGAGATCACACAAGCCCTTGGCTCAATCCTTATCCATTCGTCCTGAAATATACTAGCCAGAATTGCGATTGCTTTATAAAAAAGATAATCATTTTGAAATATGAGTGTTTTTACTCACTAGAAAATAATTTATACAACCTCACATACGCGGCTTTGCATTTTGTTGATACGCGGTTTTGTACTTTAAACGACGATGTGTACATATATATATTTATGAGACTCCTTTTGACCTTATATAAGGTTCATTTTGAACTATAAGCGACGATTAGGTTTGATGCATTAGTATTCACATTTAGAAAACGAAGTGAAAATGTCCAAACTACTAGTATTGCAGGTCTATATATAGGTATTTATACCTTTTTCATCACACCCTCTTTGGCTGCGCTGTGGTTAGCAGTGCGCGCTTTCACTCCGCAGGGCCTGGGTTCAATCCCAGGTCAAAGCAACATCAGGAAAACAAAAAATATAGACAATGGCGAACCTCCGAGTGTATTTCTGCCATGAAAAACAGCTTCTTATAAAAATACAATCGCCGTTCGGAGTCGGCGTAAAACTGTAGGTGCCTCCCCTTGGTGTATTTTAAGGGACGAACACCTGAACTCTTTGACATACAACATTCAGCTTAGGTTTACTCGTATTCTCATTGTGAATTGTATACGAAAGCAAAAGCAAAATCCAAAAAAAATAATAATATTGGCATTGGAAAATAACCAAATTTCTTGAAACATTTAATAATTTTTAAACGGAAAAATATTTGTTGCTGTTATTAGATTTCGTATTCCAGCAAAATAAAACCAAAACGCGAGGGATAAAACTAGCAAAAGTACATACAAAACAAAAAAAATGGCAACCGACCGCGTCAACATTTTTCCCTCGCGTACCAATCTCGTGCTGATGAATCAGCGCATTATGGCTGCCACACGCGGTCTGAATCTGCTCAAACGGAAACGCGATGCTATCGAACTCAAGCTGCGTGAAGTAGTGGCCGAATTGGAAGCCGCACAGGCGGTGGTGGACAAAGTGATGGCTAATGCGATTTTCTCGATGGCAAAAGCGAATTTTCTCGACGCAGACTTACGCGCATGCGAGCTGTTGAACACAGGCAAAGCAGACATTTACATGCGTATAAAAAACACAAGAATTGCTGGTCTCTTACTGCCGCAGTTTCAGCTGTTCGTGGAGAGTCCGGGAAGCTTTCCCCTCACCGGTTTGTCACGTGGCGGCGAACAAGTGGAAGTAGTGCGCGCCCGATACCAAGATGCCGTGCGAACGCTCATTGCGCTGGCATCGCTGGAGTACACAGCGAATGCGCTACAAGATGGAGCGCGACAAAACAACATGCGCATCAATGGATTGGAATTTGTTGTGATTCCACGCTTTCAAAATACAATCACCTACATTCGAGACGAATTGGAAGAGTATGAACGTGAGGACTTCTATCGTTTGAAGCGCTCGCAGGGGAAGCAACGCAAAGCGAAAGAGAAATTCACGCAGCTTATCAAATTGAAAAATCTGACACCAGAACAGTTGGCTGTTCTCGAAGAGCAGCAGAAGCATAGACGATCGTCGATAGTAACTCCTGGTTTAGCGGCAGACTTTGACATAAACGAATTTCTACCGATGGTGCAGAGAAGTAGGGAGAACGCTGGTGCTGGAGAAGCTATGAAGTTCTGACGTACGAATGAAGGCGGCAAACATGAAATGCCGTCCATAACGAAGGAGAGTTGGGAGGAAGGGAGCGCGCAGCAACGAGAAGGTAGTCAAGCTGACCAGAATTATTGGTAGGGGAGTGTGTGTAAGGATTTGTAAAAGGCAGATGAAATAAGTACATATATAAATACAGCATGCAGAATTGTATTATTCGAGAATATTTAAATAAAATGCAAACTCATACACAGATATGTACATGTACAGTATATTACATACTCATAGTATGTGCTTATACAGAAAGTCGATGCGCTACTCAACGTACACTCGAATTTGGGGGATTTCTCGAAACTTAAACCAATATAAAAGTTGTTGATATTTTTTGTCTTATTCTGAGTTTCGCTCCAAAAAAAAATTCAACCGAAAATTTCTCATCCGTCCATAGTAAATGTCTACATGCAAACCAAAAGTGAAAACTGAATCGTCTCGGGAAAAATGAAACTCATGTTAACGGCGGTTTGCGATTTCATTGACAAATTAGTGCGGTAAATTTCACCGGTTCACTTTTCACGCCCGGTTTCCATGTATCTACATACTATGGGCGGAATAAATATTTTCGGGTGAATTTTTTTTCGGGTAATACTCAGGATAAGGCAAAATGTAAATAAAATCTATACTTCGACGGAAGAGAACTAGCCTAGAACTAGACTAGAGATGGATACGGGACTAAGTATTCAGTCCTGTTCCCGCCCATTCCGACGTTTCTCAGAATTTTACCGCGGGTCCCGCGGGTCCCGTGGGTCCCGAAATGTATCACTAAGAAAAATGCACATATCTTTCAAATTAATTTTGAATAAAAATAAAAATATAATGAATGATCTGGAATTTTCCGATTATTTGGTTTTTCTTTGCTGTTCGTTTTCGTCTCAATAAAATATAAAAAGTGCATATTTCTAACAAAGTTTTTAAGGAAGATTTTCTAAATTTCGAAGATTGCGCTTTTATCGGGAGTGTCGGGAAATTATTTTGGTCCCATCCCGACAGACCTTCCCGATGCCGCCCATTCCGGCTACTTTTAATTCCTATTTTCTGACAAACGTATTATTTTGAGTTGTGACTCTTTTGAAGACGGTGTGCGTATGTATGTATGCACGTTTGCAATCGTGTGTTTCTTTGATTCCCTTTTCACCGCTGCATTATGTTCAAGCAGGGTGTCCCGAAATACTAATACATAATAATAAAGTTTAACTGTACTTGCAAGAGCATACCTGTATTTATTTTGTATATATACAAATGTTGCGCATACCACCTGTGGTACGCAAAAGACTTTCACTACGATTTAATGCATCTACCATGTTCGCATTAACACAATAGAGAAGCAGCTGGGGAAAAGTAAGCTTTTTAGCATATTTAACGACGGTAAATGAAACAAACAATGTCAACAAAAAGCATTAACTTTTACAACTGACTTACATGCTTAGGCCTGTAAAAGTGGTACGTGTTTGAAAGGGTTGCGGTGCTTGCATGAGCTAAGCCAAAAAATGATGTACTATTTAGAAGGACTCGGAGGAATTTTTGAGTTCATAGTATTTATTTTACATGCGTATACAGGCATATGTGTGTAGATATACAATTCATAAGTATGACGGCCAATGTTTGCTGTGTAATGTTCGGACTGTTTCTGTAGAAACTGCGCTTTAAAATCGCTTCAATTAAGGGATGACTAAATTTTTGCTTCACCTCTAAAGATGAGTTCAATTAACATTTCCTAAAGGGTTATCCGATTATGCAGCAATGAGTTAACATAGTGTATTCAAAACATTTACATCGTCACTTTGCTGCATCCGGCTATTTTGGCGCAGAGTTAGTCGTCGGCTAACAAACGAATTTTATAGTTTCAACCTCATAGTCACGGAAAGCGACCATAATGAGGGATTAAATTCAGGTATTTTTACATGATTCCGCTTCGTCCTTGGTGTGAGTTACATTTTATAAACACGGCCATATATGGGGCTCTTTCTCTTATTTATGTATGAATATGCATTTGTTTATGTAACTACATATGTACGTGCATATATGTTTCAACGGTTTTTTCATACTTTTTCGTAGAATATCTCGCCTTCCTCGTGCTGCTTGCAACTTTGCTGTTTACATTTTCCCATTCGCTACAATCCATTTTGGAATTAAACTTACATTTATTTTCGTTGCTCACTCATCTTTGTTACGCTTTTCAAACTAACTTACAAAATCCTTTAAACAAGAGCAACAAGGTGTTACATACATGCATATATATTTATTTAATTTTTTTCTTTAGCGTTTTCTGTAGAATTTGCTCTAGTTTAGTTTAGTTACTAAAAAAATCTCATCAGCTCCATGAGGTTAGCTGATTTCACGGTAATCGACACGTATCACAATCCCCGTTCTGGTGTTTTGGGCAGAGCACACTCAAATCGCAATTGGCCGACGGACATGCGTTCATCCGATAATATTCTGCATAAGATGCATAGCTCAGTCGGCTGCAGATTTGTTGTTTTCGGGCGGTGGGACTTCGAACCTGCCATCATCGACTGAGGGCGCGGGCTCATCTTCTCCACTACTTTCAAGGCGTTACCATTCAACAAGTATTTTCTCATAATCCAGCCATGTTCTGGACATCGATCACTAAGACGCAATGGTAGTGTTATAGGAGTCTTGATATCTTCAGTAAATCACCTAACTTTCTGATTAAATTTTCGTGTATTTTCCCATCGCACTCACATATTTCTGCTGCCCATCTATTTTTATTGCAGAAAATACATACGTCTCGCTTCCCTGTTTAACTCGCTATATCGATCTCAAGTTGCTCGCATTGCGGCCGAACACAGTGTGCTCTCTGCTTCTTCAACGGTGGCACGTAGTGAGTAAGAGGTGTACTGCTACCGGCTGAGAATATCGGTTAGTTAAAGAGTTCCGTCAAAGAACTGACGTCGTAGTCTAGTAGCTAGGATGCCGACAGTCAGTTTTGATTAAATCTTTTCGACGTTGAGAATCCCTTGCACTGCTGAGCGCACATATTTTGCTGCACAATGGCATATG